AGTATAGTCCTATCCTGCAGAAATGTTTCCAGCTTACTGCAGCTGAGGAGGTAACTTCCCAAGAAGTCACATAAGCAAGAAAAGCGAGCACAGGTTTTGGGGGTCACTGGGGTCTGGCTTTCTTACTTAAAGATAAAACAGGACACTGTAACATGCCTGTGTCAAAACAGCCACTGAGGCTCAGTGCCCGTAGCTCAGTGGTTAGGGTGCTGGCCACATGCACCAGGGCTGATGGGTTCAAACAAGGCCTGTGCCTGCTAAACAACAATGACAACTACAATAAAAAAAATAGCCGGGCATTGTGGCGGGTGCCTGTAGTCCCAGCTACTTGGGAGGCTTAGGCAAGATAATCGCTCTAGCCTAAGAGTTTGAGATTGCTGTGAGCTGTGATGCCAAAGGTGGCAAAAAAAACACCAAAGAACAACCAGCCACAGAAATACAAAGTCATCGCTCTTTGTTATCAAGTATTATGAACAACAATGCCATGTCTTCCTCCCCGGTCGGATGACGTGGGCAAGTCACTTCCTCTCAGTGAGCCTTATTCCCTGTACTCTAAAATGTAGACATCCTAAGTGACTGAGGGCCAGGAAAAACATAATAATAAAAACAGTACAGGCCAGGCACGGTAGCTCACACCTGTAATCCTAGCACTCTCGGTGCTAGGCCAAGGTGGGTGGATTGCCTGAGCTCAGAAGTTCCAAACTAGCCCAAGCACGAGCAAGACCCTGTCTCTCCTAAAAATAGAAAAGCTAGCCAGGTATTGTATTATGCAACTATAGTCCCAGCTACTTGGGAGGCTGAAGCAAGAGGATCTCTTGAGCTCAAAAGTTTGTTTGCTGTGGGTAATAACTCCATGGCACTCTATCCAGGGTGACAAAGTGACACTCTGTCTCAAAAAACAAAAAAGTCTAGGCACAGTGGTTCATGCCTCTAATCCTAGCACTCTGGGGTACAACAGTCCTGAGGCAGAAAGATCTGTTGAGCAGGTGGTACCTGTGGCTCACTGAGTAGGCCGCTGGCCCCATATACCAAGGGTGGCGGGTTCAAAAACTGGCCCCGGCCAACCTTCAACAAAAAATAGCCAGGTGTTGTGGCAGGCGCCTGGAGTCCCAGCTATTCAGAAAGCTGAGGCAAGAGAATCACTAAGCCCAGGAGTTGGAGGTTGCTATGAGCTGTGATGCCATAACACTCTACCAAGGCCAATAAAGTGAGACTTT